CACAACCTCTCTCATGCTTTTACAAAGACTGGCGTTTGTTATGGCATTGCTTACATGGAAAAGCAACATTCAGACTGCACAGGCAAAGTCTAGAGATACTTATCTGCTGGAAACAAGGAGACAGAATCATGGGATCAGCCAGCTTTTCTTACAAACTGTTACTGACCACAATCTCACCCTCAAAGCAAAAGCTAATCAGAGCTTTCATTTTACCCTGACCAACACAGGGGGTGAAAGGGAAATAAAACAGAGACAATACGGAATTCAAAGGAGTGGAAATACTGCGCTACATGAGCAAAAGAGCCACTTTATGGACTTCGCAGCTACAGAAGGTCACGAGTCAAATACTGCGACTAGATTTTCAAATGAGCCAAGTAATTATATAAGCATTAATAATGTAGAAATTATGCAAGCTACAACAAGGGCAATTATGTCTCATGCCTTCACCCATAAACTGCATTGGTGACAAGAAAAAAAATCTTTCCTTTCTCCCAGCATCAAGCACTGCACAGTTGCATGCGACATTCACCTCCCCTCCGGAGCTCCCGTCTTGGGCTGGAGCGTCATGGGACACCTCATGGGTTACCCATGGGCTGGGCTGGTGGAAGAACTGTGCGGCTGCTTTGTTTGAAGACCAGGTTAGGCAGAGGTAGAACATAACCCCTGCAGTGTACTTATTTTTAAGTGGCTCATACACAACAAATGCAAAAGATGCAAGAATTCCCCTAAGCCTGTCTTAGTTTGGCAGCTCTTCTTCTTCGCAACAAAATCCTTAAACTCCAAAGAGCCACAAGAAAAAAATACTAGAAGAAACACGTTGCAAAGTCAAAACAACTTCTGCACAGAGCAGTTCTGTCTCCAGTGCTCCAGGCCAGACATTTACAGAGTGACCCTTTTGCCCCCTCCCAAAATTAGCACAGCCTCTTTGCAGAGGTCTGAGCCAAGCCAGGCTCAGCTGTGCTGAGCTCTTCCTAACTGGGAACTCTTTCCTGGGCTGATTCTCAGCACCTCTAGCAGAGACTGAACTCAGAAATCCTTTGTTGCTTATTGTCTTTCAGAGGATCGTCTTAAATATGGGATGGAGCACGCCACAGCTGGGAAATAACACAGAAAGTTATGACGCAGCTCCACAAGGCTTTTTTCTTCAGAAAAACTCAAGTTTTGGTAGATAGTGGAATTCAGATGTAGAGCTGAAATGTGATCATACACATAGCAGGAAGAGGATGCAACTGGGGTCTCCAAACACAGTGTCTAGTTTGCACACCACAGGATTGCAAGAAGTAACACCAAACACCTCTTGTGAGTAGTGAGCTGGGCAAAGAACAAACTTTCTTGGGGACTTGCTAAGAACAGCAAATGCTGGGCAATTTGCTGATACGGTTGCTGCTCAGGGTATTTGCAAGCAGAAGACATCAGGGCTGTATGAACAGTTGTGCTGATGTTTCACTACAAAACATATCTGCTGTGGATTGTCCTGTTGATAAAACACACGAGCCTAGTGCTAACTAACACCTTACACTTAGAGCAGAAATCAGTACTCAGGTCTGCTGACACCCATGCCCAGGCTGCAGGGTGTCCTGCAGACCTTTTGGGTTTTACTGTTGTAGAAAGAAGCTGCGTTTATCTTTACTGGTTACTGCAAGATCTCACAGGACTGTAACAAGTGTCCTCAGGGAACGCACAGCCTTCTAGCTCTTAGCCTCTTGGTTGTTCTTTAAAGACATTACATGGGGTTGAGTTTTAGCCAAGTATGTGTGAGGAAATCTCCCTCTGCTGCCAGGCCAGGATGCTGCCTGGATCACGGATCCAAATATTCCCTCCTTCCAGCCTCAGACACTTGCATCTTTTGATTCCCAACCCACATCAGCGCTCAGGAAACGGGCTCCATGACCGTACCCTTGTGGGACAGCACCTTGCTACCATGAAAATGGTGCCAACAATTAACTGTATCCAGGTCAGGCATGTTGCCCAGCTTTGGGAGACTACTTCTGCAGCTAGGCCAATGCAGAAAGCTTTTCTCACAGCTAGCTGCAGCACTCGGCACCAGATGTTTGCTCAGCATAGCACTTGATGTTCAAAGATCTGCATTAGAACTTAATGTAGGGAGGAGGAAATTCAAGAATTTGCAATGGATCTTGTAGAACAGCTCAGAGAGTTTGCTCTAGAACAGGTCTCAGTCTGGGGAGCACCATGATGTGTCGAGTTCTTGGTCCTGGGCCATGGTCCCATAAATGAAGGCATAGCAACAGCAAAGGACCTCAAAGGAAGCAATTTGGGAAGCTGGGGAAAGTGAAGGACAGGACAAAAAGCAGCCAAAGCTAATATTCAGCACTGGGTTTGCAAGAAGTAACAGATACTGGAAACAAAATGAGACAGAGAGAGCTGATTCTTCTGAAAGCCATTTGGAACCACTCATGCCAAGCCTTAGCTTAGGGAGGCTGCAAATCACCAGTGTGGCCTCCTGAAAACCTTTAACAGGGAATGAGAGAATGGAGAAAGGCCAGACCTCAACAGTGGGCCTTGAAGCAATCATTACTCATCCATAGGAACATACAACAGCCCTAGGAACAGTAGGACAAGTACAAATGGAGAGAAATTTTTAAACCACTTACTCGGGAACCTCTCTTGCCAGGTGGTCCTGGTAAGCCCGGCAGACCTGGTGGACCCTAGAAAATTAAAAAGAAGTATTAATGATAGTTCTAGAACAGGATGGTGGCTCCTGACAATGTTTCAGGGAGACCCATAATACAACCTTTTCGAGAAGACCTTGGAAGAATGGCTAGTTATAACACCACAGCCAGAATTTCCCTTCAACTTATGCTATTACCCTAAAGGGATAAAAGCCATGCCCAATAACATCTGCAGAAGCATATGTTTCCATAGAGTAGAGACAGAGTGTTCACATCTTTCTGCTGTAGACCACATTCCCGTGATCACAGCTGTGTTTCACGCTTCCAGTTTCCTGGACCTGTGCTGTAACACAGGGGTAATGCAACTCTCTCAGCTTCGGAGTTTCCTGCTACGTGCTAGCAGACGACAGAAGTAATGTGTAGCACCTTGGCGAGGGGGGAACATTGTGTGTTCTAATATACACCAGCTGAGGATGTATAGTTCTTGGTCTTGTAGGTTCCTACATGAGTTGTAACATAATCGCATACCAGCACTTCATATTTTAAAGCAGCGTGTTATAAAATGTAATAAAATTGGTGTCAATGTTGGAAATTCTTTAATATGGCTCTGTATAGGAAAGGTCAACTCATACATGTCAGAGTAGTGGGGGTTCTTGGAAGAGGGTGAGAACGAAGTGGAGATACCAGGCACCCAGCTGTGCACTGATCTGAAACACGTTAGGAAAAAATAGTTAACCAGTGAGGTTTGAACTCCTTTGAATTTATTCATTTATTTATTCATTTTTTCAATGGACTGGAGAATTCAGATTTCTGGAGAATCATTTGCAACTCCTAATAACTCCTCAAAACTTCTTTTCCCCCAAGCCAAATACGTCTAACAAGAATAACTGTTAATTAAAGTGTCTCCCAGAAGATTTATATTCTAGTAGCTTGTTACAAAGATGAGTTTTCATCACATCCAGGAGAGAAAGAGAGATCCAGAGCTGCAGACTGAAGGATGTTTGGAAGGCAGTCTGAGCTCTCCAACGGCGTGGTGGTCAGGAGAGCAGGTCCCAGGAGCAAGGCTCCATGGGGAAGATGGGTGCATCGCACGGAGCAGGTACAGCATGAGCCCCACGGCCACGCTCCGGCCCCAGCACAGCCTCGGTCCCTTCCCACTGGGTCATCTCTGTAGGACCTCACGTGCACAATCGCCCCGAGCGGAGCCCGCTGCAAGGCTGACCCTGCTGCTGCTGAAGGATTGCCAGGCAGAGCTGCTTGGGCTCTGCGGTGTATTACTGGCCCTGAGGAAGAGTGAAAAGTTCGTATCTCTAATGCAGTTTTCAGGAGTCACTGAGTGCATGATTTAGGAACAGAAATAAACCCTGGAGATTCCTACCCTAAATCTCATGTCCAGGATAAGAATTTGAATAGAGAAAACGTGCCTGAACCATACAACTAACTGATGAATAAACACTCCCCTAATATTACCAACCCTCCTATACACAAGCAGCAAATTAGTTAGTATAAAAGAGATCTTTTAAAAAAGACATCCAGCCAAACTCGAAACAGTAGAAAAAAGTCAGGAGAACAAGTAAGCAAAGCCCAGGGTAGGTCTCTCTGTGCTACTAATTTGTCAGGACATCAAATGAATCATAACATATGTTTTTCTTTAGTTATTTCTATCTGTAATAAAGATGACAAGAAAAGGATTGTTTTCAAAGTGTAAGAGCCTACGCAGCGAACAACAGCTAATGCCCCACACTAGAGACACACAGGGATGGACTTCCACCACTGTACCACTCACTGCTGCTACCCAACACTGCTGCCTGTCCTGGAGATTTCCAGTCTCTATAGCCTGGGATGCTTCATCTGACTTCTCTGCAAGTTGCTGATTGCTGGCTATCACAGTATTACTGGTCCTTCTATTAACAACCCTCATTGATACAGCTGACCCTCATTTTAGCAATACACACAGCATTTTAACCTGCTATTGTGCCAGCTCAGGGCCCCGTGTATAACGCAATTATACAGCTGTGCAAATAGACACATGATTGTAGGGGTTTTTAAGCCTCATGTATAACTGTGCTCCAGAATCCAAGCTTTTATTAAAAAAATCCCCTTGCCCTTTTAGTCACGAAGATAACTATCCAAACATGAATCCAATGCAACTGATCCAGTGACAGTTAACAGAGTTTACCAAAGATTAATTCAAGTCCTTAACCTCTTCTCCATCAAAAGTCAAACCCCAGAAGGAGAAGTAAGAGAAGATGCAACTGTCTGAGAACTGCGTTCCATGCGTACCAGAATTGAGGTGACCTTTTCCACCTTCCTGTTAACAGCAGCTGCAATTGTACTTGGCCACTTGAGTAAAAATCTTCTCCAAAAAATGTGGGCTGTTCATAAACTGAAGCTAACATAAAAATAAGGAGAGAGTCAGTACCTGCACTGGAGCAGGAATACAGAGTTAAGGGAAAGGCATTTAGCTAGAACAGCACAGAAAGCGCAGTATATAATTCAGGAGTCCCTATCACTTTCCTTTGGTTTCATTTGCCTTTCCTTCAGCTTTTTTTTCCCCTCTCCTGAAGGGTAAGAGGAATAAGATGACCGTGAGATGGCATCAGCTCAAAGGTACCAGCCACTGGTAACTGCGTAAGGCAAGAGGGTGACCACACATACATTAGAAGCAAGCCAAGGTGGAAGAGGACTGGGGTAGCTGGATGAACACAGGTAGTTGTGAAACATGATGCACTGCTGCTCGCACGGTTCCTTGGTAGTTGGATTAGGTGGGACATGTACTGTGCCTTCCTAGTGACTCATTTCTCCTCTGCCCTCTACATATGGCTCTATATCATCCAGCTCAAGTTCTCAAAGAGGCCCCCATCAGACAACTAGCTATGCCTGGGAGAGCAATACTGACATACATGCAAAGAAAAAGCCACATCTGCAGAGGCAGCCAGAGAAGACTAAGACCGGATCAGGGCCCAGCTACTTAGCCGTGATGGATGCAGCCCCACTTAAAACATGAGGCTCTGAGACATGGAGAGTAAGAGGCATCTATCAACGAGCCACCACGCAGCAAGCTGCTGAGTCTGCCTGGAGGTAATGCCCATGCAGGCCCTACGCTCACCAGAGACATCTCACCTAACGTGGGGAAGAGTTAAACTGATCACACAGAGCCTGTGTGGCCCTTTCCATTGTACCCCTTAGAGCATCCCTAGGGAATTCCATAGGGAGCTGTGGGAAGTTCTCCGAGAGGCAGGAAGGTTTCCTCATCCTGGCAGCTGGAGAAAGATTATCACTTCTCTGCTCCTGCCCTCCCATTGCAGGGACGCCCCATGAGATCGGCGAAGCTGACAGCCTCCTGCAGCGCGCTACCGTTCCTAGCACTTCGGTTCTTGTCTCTCTGGCTCCTTGCCTACTCCTTTCTGCAGACTGATGGCAAAGAACACACACCCTGTTATCACACAAAGCAAAATCAGAGATCAAGGAGAAACGTGGCAGAAGCAGATACTCTCTCTTCTCAAGCCAAACAGCTGAATTGTTAACCAGCCTGAACATTTCTGTGAAGCAGCTAATGGCAGCCACATAAAAGTTTAACCCTTCTCAGTTTCCCACGGTAGCATTAGCAACGATGCCTGATCCCACCAAATGATTATAGGATTTATTCTAAGCTGCTGCTGGGAAACTTTCTGGCGCAAAGGGGACTTTTTTTCTCAGCTTTCTGAGCTTCAAATTGCAAATGGAAAATTAAGCTAAGTTGTCTGAAAGGGAAATACATCGGACCCTGAGGATAAGAGAAATCTCACCATTTCCTCTTGCTGCTGAGATCAGCCAGTTGATACCTCTGCCTCTCCCACACCATGACCCCCCTCACACTGCTTCCTCTGCCCACAGCAATGCCTCTGGGAGCTAGGTGCCTTCAGATCTCAAAACCTGAGCAAGGCTGAACCTGTTCCGAGAGGACTTCAAGGAAAGCGCAATCGGTACAGGAATTGGTGCTGGTGACTTGGGAAATGACTCGCTTCCTTTTGAATGACTACTGAATCAACTTGCTCAGATAGCAAAGTATTCCTGTCATCGTTTCCCCAGGGGCAAGTACTCAGTGGAGTAGCAAATAGCTGACAATTACCCAGGACACAATTCAGCCCATATTCCAGTGCACTCTGATAGACCGACATCTATATTTTAGGGTTTCTCCAATGTACTTCTGCCTCCCCTGCACAGCATTAGTGGCACAGCTCTTTATCCCAGAACCAGTCGTGTTTCAGAGGTGGGCATCCTGCGCTGCACGAAACGCCGCAAGGACTGAGGAGAGAAGAGAGAATATTCTTCTCTCTCAGATGCTAATGTGTGTGGTAAAACCTAACAAAAAAGGGAGTTCAGAAAATGCATCGAAAGCTTCTCGCTCACTTTGGCATCAGGTTCTGAGCAGTGACATTACCCCCGCAGACAGAGAATCTGTCTCGTTTCCTTCCTGGAGGAGGAGGAGGCATGCTTCCTATGCAAGGGCACTGCCACAAATCCAGCGCTTAGCCTTGTGTGTCTGGAAAGCACCAGCACGGAGGGACTGAGCAGCTGCCAGGGCAGCACTAGAATTAAAAATCCCCTGCTCAGGAGAACAGAAGAGGAGGAGAAGACCTCATCTTCAAAAGACCTGCCAACCCCGCTTCACCTCACTGTCCTTGCCAGGCACTGTGCAGAGAGAGACGGGACCTAAACTAAAACCCAGCTTGAAGTACTGCCTAAAATAAATCTGCAGTTTTGGGGGAAAAAAAAAAATCCAGCACTTTGGTTACTTTCTTCTCCAAGGCAGGCTTATCATATTAAATTTGGATACATCTGGGTTTCAACCAGTCTAAAAATGAAAAAGCCCTCATAATTCTGGCAGGAACCGAGATGTTGGTGGAAAGCCAGTCTTGTAATATGATTTCCGCAAGAGACACAGATGTTTATTCTGGGTCTGTACAACACCTATCACAGAAAAGTCCTTGTCCACAACTGGATTCCTAATAGAATGGCAGCACAATACATAGCAAAATATTAGTATTCCAGCTTGATGAAAGCAGCTTTTCTATAGAGACGTTTCAGGAACAGTCTCTGCATGAGGCACTTCCGACTCTCGAGCAGCCTCCGACCTTGGAAGGAAGTCTGAAGGGGTGTGAAGAAAGAGAAGGATCCCATACTGTATCACTCCCTATTTTTAAAGATTTATAGAAATACCTGTATATATGTATACAATACATCCCTACATCCTTTGCAGCACATTTATCTCAATCACACTTCCAACTACTGCTCTTCAGAATGAACTTTGTTTTAAGCGAATAGACCTCTCTGATGCTTAGTCATTTGCCTACAAGAAGATTTCCCTTCGGGGATAGTTCTGGTTAAGTTAGCAAAAAAGAAATGATCTAACTGTGTGGCTAAAGCTTTTCCCATGTATTACACAAAGCGTGCGATCTTCTGAGTCTTTTTTTTTTTTTAATATGAGTCATTCATTAAGAGACATTCAAACACATTGTGTGTTCCTTAATTTATCATAGACTGTCAGCTTGAGTAGCCTTTTCTGGTACAAGGAGGACTGGAAATAGGCACTTCATGTTTTATCAGCATTCCCAATCACCTCTCTCTCCCCTAACCCACTGATTGAATTGGCAAGGAGCGCTTCTTTATGAAAGGAGCTGGGCTCCAAGACAAACTGCTCGTGCAGAAGATGGCAGCTGGAGCAGTCTAGACCGGGGACGCTCAGAAACACTTCTGCCTCTGAAGGAAGGCTGCCTGCCTGCCAGGGTACCACACCTCTGCCTGGGCTGCTGCCACCAGGGTTCGAGCCTGGGGCTCCTGGCCACGCACCGTGCCGGGCAGATGGAAACTGGAGGATGCTGGCGTACCCGCCCGGGGACTCTTCCGACTCGGATAATCGAGGAGTTGCTCACCCCCTCCCTGCTCCTCCTGCATTACTCAGTGCTTCCACAGTCTCTTAGTGAACTCAGCCCGCTCCTCTGCACCTTCAGCATCAGGTATGGTTTTCTTACTCTAAAAATAACCTTCAGACACTAGGCAAAAGAGTCAATACAGGGCTTTTTGTTTGCAGGGGCAAAAAAGCTATGGGATTACAGCCTTATTACATAGGAGGAGAATAGTCCAACTTGAGGGACACTGTGTACAACCCAGCTAGACCCCAGGGCTGCGCCAAGGCAATGGGTTTGCTGCAGCTTCACCGCGTAACACAGAGCATGCACATCCCAGCAGGCAGAGCTGATGGGCAGGGGAGAGGGCTGCAGCCCCCTAAATCTCCCCATCAAACCTGTTGCTGGTATAGACATGCCAACGATACCCCATCTACCAGAGGATTCAAACCACCTATCACATCACAACCTTCCAAGGGCTTGAGGGCTTGACATGCTGGCAACAAAATACTATTTTTCATCTATTAATTTTCTTTCATGGGTGTCCAAGCTACTCACAGCCGTGTGCTGGGGCCAGCCCACTCTGCAAGCTGAGCGAAGGCCCACTTGGCCCCGCGCAGGGACGGGAGACCTCGAGCGAGACTCGGCAGAGGTACTGCGGGCAGCCGTGGGGATGATTCAGAAGGACGTTTGCCAGCTGCTGAGTCAGTGCTGAGTTACTGACTTAGCATGATGTTTGGGTGTTCTTTTTTGCTATTTCCCCCCTCCAAAAGAAATGCAGAGCCGAGATCCCAAATGCTTGTGGTTATTAATGGTTCCCAAGAAATTTTTCTTTTTTAAGAGCATATTATTCTCCCTCCTTTAGCTGCCCAGAAAAACCCAACATTCCTGAAGAATTAATGCTCTGCCACTAGTTGCATGTGGGACGCAGCATCTCCATTTCCTGTTGCGCAGCACCACTGTGGTCTTTCAGGACAGATTAATCCACGGAGGGTGCTGCTGTTGGCAGCTAGGTGAGCAGATCCTTTTAGCCCCTTGCTTGCACTCCTCTAACCATGCGGACACCTCCCTCAATTTTGGGGAGGGGACCCTTCTGGCACAGCTAAGGTTATACCACAATTATTTTGGTAACATTCACAAAGCCAGAAATGCAGAGACCGCAGTGCCTGAGTCATCACTGCCTCACCCCCCGGCTGTCAATCCCATCCCGATTTTGGGATGATGAGGATGAGAGCTGGTGGAGAGCTGGACAGGCAGGGCGCTGCTGGCTGCCAGCCTGCCTCTGCCCATAAATCGTTGCCAAGGTGGCCCCAATCCTTGCTGAAAAACAGAAGGCAGTTTCCCCACTCATGCTTCCCTGCCCAGCACGATCGTCTTCTTGAAGAGACCTTGTATCAGGCAACGCAACTGGAAAAACTAATTAATCATCTTACCCTTCCACCCGTACGCCAGACTCCGTGAATGATGGTCCCAGCCCATAACCTGCCCTGTCCAGGGAAAGCGCCGGGCTGCAATATCACGCAGCAGAGCAGGAAGGGCTGTACTGACCTCATCAGACACGTCTGCCCAACAACATGAGGACGGCGCCAGGTAATTACTCAAGCACAGAGCATTTATCAGCACTTGTTCTGAAACATGCTCGTCTGGCCATAGAAGTGCTACATTAATTTCTCCACATGTCATTCCCATTCCGGTCTTTTCTCCTCTTTCTCTTCCCACGTCAGAGACATCCAACGCAGTATGGTACAGAGATCTCCGAGTGAGTCACAGGAGCTATCAAACACCGTGCGGCAGCCAGCTCCAGCTGAGCCATAACCTTTCCCTCCCAAAGTGCCGACTTTGTTTCCAGCAGTCAAAGAGGATAAGGCCATACACAGCCTCCAAGTGTTCTCCTCTCCCTCAGTTCAGGCCTCCAGTTGTTCTCAGACAGGACGGAAAAATCCTGCCATCTCTTCCCTCAGCCCTCCGCAGCCTGAACCCGTTTCTTTGCTATGATTCACAAGCTGAGAGGGATTTTCCACTCCAGTTCAGTAATAAGCTCTTTACCTTGCAGGGAGAAGTGGGGGCTCGGAGCTTGGTCACCCTCACAACACTTACAGGGCAAGAAGGTGGAAAAGGTCAGGATTTCACCAGGCTCAGAGCAGGCCACCCAGATTTAGCCCTTACAGGTAAGTAGTGTTTTAACACTTCACAACCGCTGAATTTCTCCTCTCAGAAATATGCCTGAAATGTCTCTCCACGAAACACGGAAGATTGCCCAAAGATAAAATCGCTGAAGCTCATTCTCTCTACTCAGGGATTGAGCAAAACTTCTCCAAGTACAAAGACCGCAGCGGGGATGCGTGCCCGTAAAGTCGGGCAGGAGCGCAGGGCTGCCTGCGCTGCATCCCCCTGCCCTGGGCAGCACCTTCACCTCTCCCGGAGATGGAAACCGTCGACCAAAGAAGGTGAGAAACCACCACACTGCTCTGAAATGGGACAGGCAGGAAAGGTAAGCACCCATTGAGGGCTTAGTGAAACAACTGCTGTGCTTTAGGTGCTGCTTCCAACAATGAGCAGCACATCTGCAGACACAAGTGCTGTTGATTGTGTTCCTTAAGCTAGTCTCAGTATTTCCATTGTAAACCCTTCTTGCACTATTTTAAGAACTCAGCTGTAAAAATTTGCTCTAGGCTGGAACTTGGCAACTAAAGGCTCCGTCTGGGAGAAACTTATTGTACATGTACAACCCCTCTCATATATACAACATAGCAAAAAGCTTGGGTTGGAACACCAAATCCTCCTAAAAGCTGGCCAGTTTAAAGATCCTGTTTGCATTCTTGCATTTGAAAAAAACCCAACAACCACCTAGCAGATAATTAGTGTGGCCTGACTGCTTTTAGTATTACAAAATGTGTGTATACTTTTATGATAGCCAAGATATACACCCTGAGAGTGGTTATTGTGTGTGGAATGCAGTAGTTAAATTTATAAAGGAAACTCTTTGCACGACTTAAGTGTGGGCCATGAGAAATAAGAAATAAATTAACTTATACCATAAAAAGAAAGGAGAATTTGTATAAAAAATAAGTCTCAAAGCAATCTCTGTACTTGCGTTTGCTGAAACAGGGCACTTTTCTGGAAATGTGAGTTTCAGGTACAAATCAAATTAATAACCAGGGTTAAGAACTAGTTAATTTGTAGCATGTTTTTGAGGCATCTGGGTTTTCTTCGGAAGGTGACCCGAAGTTCTGCCCTCTTGGGCCAGGGGCATGGAACAAAAGCCCCAACCTCACCATCAAAATTTTAACCAGCAACTTGTAGGAAGGAAGGTAGGATTTATTTTTCTTTTTTTTTCTTTTCTTAAATCCATCATTAAGCAGCAACTTCAATCACAAACTTTTAAGGGGCATCCACCATCACAGAGCACTCAAGTTTACACAACATATATGCTAAAATTGTGATCACCAGAAACGTAACAGTGCTTGGCTGCTGTTTCGAGCTGTCACACTCTGCTAAGCTTTATAAAAACCCTTGTAAGGTTATGGTCTGCCAACCGTTCAGCTGAGCTGTGACCGGGAATAGTTGGCATTAACAGCCTGAACTCACCTGAGGTCCTCTCTCTCCTTTCACGCCTGGATATCCCAGTAAAAATGGAAACTGAGTGGGTCCGAGCGGGTCAAAGATCTGATAGCCATCAGTGGCAGCGGGGGTTGTGAGGTTGAAGACCGGTGCCCTGGCTCTGGAGACGGGACGGGCAGACCCCAGGGGTGGTTTGGGGTGCACCAGAGCGACATTGCTGGGATCTGCTTTCCTGGTGGGGGACGGCACATGCTTCTTTGGAACGGGTCCATTGCTTGGGTTCGGTGGGGTTTGCTTCAGGGTGACAAAGTGGACATTGCTGGTTGTGTTGTCAGTCATCCTCCTTGTTGGCTTTACAGTACTGGGTACTTCAGAGGGCTCAACGGTTGGTTTTTGGTTGATCATCTTTTTGGTGTCTTGCTTGGACTCCTTCCTGCGGGCTGTGGCAGGGATCTGGCTTGTTGGTGGGGCCTTTCTGGCAGTGGGAAGGGGAGTAGTCTCCATGCGCATGCTCGGAGTGGGCCGAGACACCCTGGGGGTCGTCACCGTCCCCCGAGGGAGCGAACGGGTGGGTGGCTGTGTTTCGGTACTTGATGGAACAGGAGATGGGGCCACTGTGACCTTTTTGGCTTTGGTTGTCAGTCTTGGTGGGGATGATACCAATGCGACGGTTGTTGCACCTGAACCTCGAGTCTTGAGGGGTGCGGTGACCCTGCCAAACTCCAAGGATGGGGCAGCAGTGGTCAGGTTTTTCAGACCCTGCAGTGAGGACTCCATATGCTGTGGGGTACTCGGGGAGGCACTGGGATCCCTGGGCAGGAGGGGGATGAGAGGGGGCAGGTTCGGCCGGTAGGTGTCTGCTTGCCTGCACTGTTTTTTCAGGTATTTACAGTAATGATGAGCTGCCTTGGTGGAAGGATAAATATCAAACTGGCAGATGGCTCCTTCAAACTGCACGGAGTGCTGATTCATCTTCCCAAAGAGGAAAGATCCATGTGGATCCAATGCCTCGTCCTTTTTAAAATGCAAATCCGCATGTACTCTGCGCTTCCCACAAGAAGTAAATAAAGTGACTGTCTGGCCACGGATATCGATGGCCATATTGTGCCACTGGCCATCATGGACATTGTAATCAAAATATACAGAGCGCTTGTGACCCACATACACTATGATCTTCCCAGGCACAAACTGGACCCCCAGCTGCAGTTTTTTCTTTTTGCTCTTGACAGCAAAGAGAAAAGCATTGTTGATGCGGTGGGAGCAGAGGCTCAGCACTAGGAGCAGATCAGTGCTGGAGCCTGCGGAGAGGATGGTGCTGACTGGTGCTTCGACACGCGCTCGCTGAGTGAAGATGACCCCTGATTTGAAAGGAATGACTCCTTGAGGAACTGTACGTGATGAGGACCATCCACTCGATGGCCTTTTCCCTGACAGGCCCAGTCTTTGAAGAACATCCACATCTGAAAGGGAAGCACAAAGAAAACGTCAGGTGTTGGGCAACCCAAGGGCTGGATGGGTATGGGGAGTCAAGCCAGTCCATACAAAAGGACAACAGGTTACAGGAAACCCCAACCATCCTCTCACACATATATGTTCAGATAAGCAGAACGGAGAGCACATAGCTTGTCTGCAGATAGCGCGAGGAGCAAGTGCATGCTCAACTTGGTCACCAGCAATAGCCAAAATGCATCAGCTCCATGGTGCATCTGGCTAGCTATCCTGTCCCACCAGGGACCAGCTCCAGATGTTCTGGAGGGAGCTGACCTCACTACTAGGAAATTTCCCACTGAGCACCAATAGTCCATTTCTCTGGGATTTAATTCTGAGTACTGACCACACAGCTGGAAAGGAATTTGAACAACAGACTGAGCTGGGATTGCAAAATGTTACATCCCCAGAAGGCAAGGAACAGAACTTTCAAAGGGAGCAAAAGCCTTATATCTGTCTCACTCCAAATTAGTAAGAAGCAGCTTTTGATCTTTGAGACTCTGGAGAGTTTAGTAAAGCAAAGGTGCCTCCCAGCATGAAAAAAATTGCACCTAGATTTCACCGAACCACGTAAGGTTCTCAACAGCAGTACTTGTTTTCCCAGCAGATCATCTTACAGCCTTAAATTTTTTTAATAAATTGAGGGAACCAGACTCGGTTTGTGAAGAGCCAAGAAACTAGTTGTGGCTGCCACTGAGCAGAGGTAGGACTCTCCTCCAGCGTTTGTCACGTAGGGGCTGGGTGCCTTGTTCAAGAAGGAGAGGAATTGCTGTCCAGAGGAACCTGCCTTTCTCCACTGACTCTGGGAGAAGTCTGCAATGGACAGGCAAGCAGAATCCTCTGGTTTCTGACCCCAAGATCTAACAGGAGTCACACGCAGCTCAGAGTCCAAGGTAGATTAGCAGGCAACAGCAACACAAACTGGAGCCAGCTGGCGGCAGTCTCAGCTGAACTACTTAACTGGGGAAGATGCTGAGGTCTACGTGAGAAGAGTTGCAAAGGTGAATGTGCCCAGACCTGAAAAAGGGGCTCATATGCCCCAAACCTTGTTCCCTTATTCCATCTCAAACATTTGGTCTAACACAAGATGTTAACTACATGGTGCAGACAGGTAAAGCAAGGCTGGAATGATTACCGTGACACTACCACTGTTGAAAATGAGCCAGGATAACTGTATTTCCTTCCCTTTTCCCTGCCCAAATTTAACCTCCATAACTCGATGACCAGCTAACTCTGGTGTATTTAAGTGCTCTTTGGGGATGCTAGCCTGGGCTGTACAATCCAAATGCTGATCTTGCAAGGTAAGAATTCAACAATCAGAAATGCAGCAGCGGCAATCGTGGCTACACATCAGCTAACATCATGGGATTGCAGCTTTCCTACATTAAAAGGAAATCAAAGGTTGCCCAAAGAAAAGAAAGGTCCTTTTCTGAAGGGGCCTTGGAATTTGTCCTCTTTCACCCCAACTATTAAATATTCAACATAATACCCAATATTTGGGGAACTGGCACTTAAGAGATCCTCAGTGTTGGCCAGAAGGGTTGTAGACTCAAGCCAGTCTGAGGCCTGTAATTTGCTGGCCAGGAAGGGAGGAGTATAACGAGAAAACCTCTGTTCCTTGACTTTGGCAAAAACGTGGGCCGTTTTTGTATGTAAGAGCAAGTCAATCAATATTTACTTTGTCTGAGCTCAGCTTTATTCCCACCTCCCTTTTTTTAAGGCAGCTTGACTCATTTTCTAGCAGAGACTAACCTAGAGAAGATGCGCCAGATGTGACAGGGGATGGAAATTTTCCCACTCCACGCAGAGGGGATAATTTAGTGAGCAGCATGTGCAAGTGTTAATAACGGTACTTCTCCCATACTGAGAAATCCTTGGTCCCCCACTGTTTTTCTGCCATATTGCCCAACGGGGCTGTCCCTCAGCACAGCAAAGGTAGAGCCTTTCCCTCTCTGCACTGAATGGAGGAATCGCAGCAGTATCTTCATACTGGATAATCTCCAGAGCCCATGAAAGAGTAAAGGCCAAAGCCTGGCTCTAGCGAAGTCAAGTGGGACCCTTGCCACAGACTTCAAAGGCATCAGGATTTAGCCCTAAGGAAATAAATTTACCACTTAAACCAGGAGCTAGACTCCAGCTTCCAATTTCTACATGTATTTTTAGATTCTCTCCCAGAGACAGACAGTGGTGTGTCTCTACTAGGCAGAGATGCTTTACACTCCAGGAGCTATTCATTCGGTAGCTGCTCTGCAAAGACGTAAGGATGTTTCCCTGCTCAGAGGATGCCGCTGCTGTTTGCAATACCAATCCAACTGCCTCGTTAGCAACTGCATCCAACAGTGCTTAAGGAAAAAAAAGCACAACTCAACCACTCCTTTCCCTCAAAGCCCACTAAGGTAGAGCCAAATTCTAGATGCCTACGCAAAACCTGATTAAAACAGACCTCATGCAGGACGCGTATGTGGATTTTCCAGCACCAGGTCCAGGCACACAGCTCAGGACTCCTGTGCACCCAGCCCGTCTGCCTCTCCATCCCATGCCGACTGCCCTGGGCTGGTGGGGCACATCCCCCGGGATGACGGCATGTCATCAAGTAACGTAAAACACAAGGTAATTTTGGCTTCCTTAAGTAGCTCCAAGTTTAGAAAAGAATTTTTTCCCCTTCAAATTTTTTCCTCTGTAGATTTTTCCATCAAAACACATTATTTAAAAAAACCATTCACTTAGAGCTCTCTGGTCCCAGGTGCCTTGAAGCTAGTTGCAACATTCCTGTAGCAACATTTGAGCGACTGGGAAAAACTTCTAGCAGACTGCATAAAGTGAGATGCGCAGATTCCTGAACAATCACATGATCATCTCTGAAAGAGGGGATAAAATGTTTTATTGCTTTCCTTCCCATCTCTTTCCCGCCCGCTTTCCCCACACAAAGTTTCATAAGAAAAAGAAGCCAAAAGACAGGAGAGAAATAACTTGCAGCTTCCTAAATTCCAGCAGCTGAGATGTGATGCCCACAGCTAAAATTGGGCTGAATAAATGCTACATTTCCAAAAGTTACTGCCCAGACCCTTAGTCAGTGCACATCAGATGAACTCACTAACCTCATGATCTTTTGGATTTGTAACACTTGCGGAAAAATCATCCTCTGCGTTGCCTCATTTTCCAGTGTGCAGGAAGACCCCTAAGCCTTATAGGAATAACTGCGGTGTTTTCAAAAGCCCACGGCATTTGCTTAATTTCATCTGCACACAGCTCTATGAAGAAGCTCTTATTGCTTTTGTAAATCTCACGTTTGAAAATCCCGAGCAATAATACAGTCTCAAGTCACCAATGTTTCCTTACAGCCTTTGCTTCCGTGGAAGTTTTTACTTTCTGGTACCCACAAGAAGAGCCTGTCTCTATGGCAAAACCAAGCAAGATATTTTAAATTCCTTTATCACAGAGAACGCATCGCAGAGGGGAGTTATCTACCACACTAAGGTAATGCAATAAGACCAAAGTGAAAGAATTTCCTTTAGATTGATAGTAACAATCAAAAGACACGGCACCATCCCATAATTATCATGGGAGTAAAATGATGGATAGAGATGAAGCTAAACAGCATATTAAAATCTACTTGAAAAGAGATGCCAAGACACAGTATTTGTTCTGCCTCTTTATGAGCTGACATAAAACTTGCTCTGAAAACTGCTTGACTAAGTAATTCAGCCAGATGTTCACCTCTTTTGCATTGAAGCAGAATTTGGAAAATATTACATTTTTCAAAATTGCTGATGGCAGGGATGTATTCCCCCCCCTCCCTGTAAAAAGTGCTCCACGGGCTGGCTTACAGCTGAGCGTTGACCAACTTTCTATTTTTCCTTCGTGTTTTGGAGACTAAAAGGAGAGCCCTGGAGCCTCCTAGTCCACTTATTGTCTATTGACTGCGGAGGAAGCTGTTCAGTTCCAACATACACCCGTGTAAAGCATCCGTGTGGAAGAGGTGTTGCTATTTTAAGAGGAGATGGCTCCTTTACAAACATGTTGCAGGGATGCTCAGCTCCCACCATCAACTGTAAAAGACGAATTTATTTTTATTGCCTCTGAAGCTTTCTGTCTCCTCTTGTGGGGTCATTGATTATCGTACCCCAACCTTTTGTCCTGTCCCCAGCAGCACTGGGGAGGGGATGCCTGGAGAAGAGGTGTGAAGACAGCATGAAGTTGTATGATCACTCCCCTATAGAATACTGCCCTTGCAGCACAGGGACTGACCCAGACATAGTCATTCTAAAATCAACCACCCTTGTGGGATTTTCCATCTTTAAATTTGCTTTTACTTTTAGAACCGGCATCGTTTCTGTATGCACAACATCCTATGTGCCTGTGGAGGCATGATTGGGTTGCATTCCAGTCAAGGAAAAACCCATCTGCCAGAGATGCTTAATTCCTTAATGCCCCAGCCTCAAGGGGCACTTTCTAAAAGCAGTTAAGTACCAGTTCCACCAAACAGACAGGCACTTCTGAAAATCCTGTGGGGCATGTAATCACCTGTAAAACCTGGCTCTTTTGCCAGCTGTTAACTGCGTCATCTCTATCTGCAGTACTGCAACGATCAGGAATAAATGCATTTAATTCTGTGCGTTAGGCTCAGACATTACATGATGGTCCTAAACTGATACTGAAGCACTTGGTTTTTACTTCGGTTGAAAGAGGAGAGAAAAAAAGTGTAATTTACCTTCAGAATTTCCCTGTGTGAATCCCAGGAACCAGGTAAAACATAATACAGTCCAGAGAAAGCAGAATCCCCTAAAATTAGAAGAGAAGAAAAAACAATGAGTTTCTACAACATTAGTGACAAAAACTAGCCCCCCCGTTAAGGGTCTTCTCCTCGATCACAAGTCTAGTGAGGTCAGTGGCAGCATCTGCATGTCTCTGGGAAATGGAGAACAGGCGCTCAGCAGAACAGTGCTTGCTTCTGACTGAGATTTCATTTTGCTACTTTAAAGTCATCTAAAGCCCACTGAATTCAGTGGAAGGTTTTCCCACTGGTATTAGGGGTTGTTGATCAAGCCTTGAACAAGGACCAGACCAGTGTTTTGAGATGCAGGGTCACTGGTCCCTTCACTACTGCTACTCTTTGGCACTCATTCCGTGTAGGACAGAGCATCAGAAATGCAAGAGGATGGAGAAATAATTCAAGGTTGGAAGGCCAAAAGACATGCCAGGAGTGCATGTGCAGGTCTGCGAGGACACGGGTAGAAATGGGCTGACATGCAGTGACCTGCATCTCAGCAAATTCAGAATCCTAGTGCTTTACTATGCACTTAAAAATGTTCTAAACATACAAAATCCTACATGGATCTGTTCCTCGTTTTAGATCCAGACGTAAAGATGGGCAACAGCTTCTAACCACTCAGCACCCTACACCGCTGCCATTAACGACTTTCTCATTAGCTTGGTACAGCAGGAAATTTTAGAAGGTGTGAGAGCTGCAGACTCCCAAGCACAACGCGCTCGCAGACCCTTTCACGCCTGAGAAGGAATTGGACAAACCTTTCTGTTAGCTACGCTTTAAGCCTTGAAGTGCCAGCAGAGAGGAAAACTTTTACCAGAAAGGTGGCTGAAGCTCCCCCCTTCCCCCACCAACTTCCTTGATTTGTAGCCAAATAACGAACACAGGAAACTCCTTGGTTAAGCTCACTTAAAACTGTCAGTGGAAAGTCTGAAGACTGAACTCCCTCATCTTTTAGAGATGATATTTAACAGCTTGATCAGCAAGAGCTGCTGGAGGAACAGAGACAAAAATGTAAATTACAGAAAGTCCTCAGCCAGAAGAAAGCAGTGTGGGACATCCACAGGTTGTTCTTCATCTCAGCCAAGCCAGCGCGAACACTGGGATATGCAAAGCAATGCCAAAGTGCAGCTTGCTCCTCTCTTCAGATCTGGCAAAGGCAAATCATTTACCAAATGGGATTAGAGACCACTCTTCTCCTGCCATCAAGTCTCATCTTTCGTGCAAGAAAACATCCTCTGAGACAATGTTTTACCCTGGGCCAGATCCTCATGCAGTGCAGGAGACCCTTTCCCACAGGTAAAATGAAGCCACAGTGATTTACACATCAGTGGGGAAACCTGGCCTTGAATGTAAAAATCCATGCAGGAATCCAGCCACTAACTAATACTTTAAGGCTTGAAGGGACAAAATACTGGAGCGGCCCCACATCGGCTGGGAAACAAATGAGATGAACCTCATCATTCTTTGCTGTTTCCATTACCCTGACGCTGGGCTGCACATGTCGGGAGCTCTGGGGCTGCTTTAGTTTATGCACGAAGGAACAACAGCTTGGAATAGCCAAATCACGATATTCTTTCGCCATGTCCTATAGCCAGCCATATGCTAACCAGGAAACCCTCACTATGCTCAAGAGATCTCCAGCTGGTGAGGCCGTTTTCTGCCCACTTCATCCCACAAGACATCTCTCAGGCTGAAGACATGGCTGAGTGCAAGCAGAGCTGTTGTCCCAGTTCATTCAGGAGAGGTAGGAAGGGAAGCAGAAGAGGATGATTCTTCATGGCTACCTCTAGCAGAAGTCTTTTTATGACTTAAAAGATGCTACAATCCACTTTACAGAAAGACCTGCGTCTCTGTGCTCACTTCCAAAGGAACAGTGGAGTTTTAAGATGTGGACACAATTCCATGTGTGCACGGAGCAAAGACCTCGCTGGGTATCAGCAGCTGGGCTTGACTGCCTGATGAGAACACGGGAAGATGAGGAGAACTATGGGACCAACACGATATGAACACCAAGGGCAGCAGGAGTCCCAGGCGTGAAGAACACCTTTTCTCTGGTGAGGATCAGGTTTGTACAACTATGTACAAACACTGGTGCACACAACACACCTAACTGAAGTCCAGATCTTTTTTGGAGGGGTACCTGCACAACCCAAATTTGCTTCCAAAATCCCTGTTGACCAACACAGTGAGGGGAACAAGTCTTAGGGGAAAATCCAGCACAATTTCATTCCAGTGACACTGACGGGGCTATAAAGGATACGAATGAGCAGCGTGGGATCCAGCTGGCCTCAGCCCTGCTCCTGGACCCCTCGCACAGCCAATACCGTAAGAGTTGACAGCGGGGCTGAACGCCAAAACACTGAAGAAAAACACTTTGGCAAAATTTACCAACTTAATGGAAAAAGCAAAAGCAGCTTCCAAATGGCAGACCTGTGACTGATGGGGCTGTTAATTATTGCAGGATTTTATAATGCAGGCTCTTTTTCCGTTACAACTCTGCAGTGACAGGATTGCATAAGCAGCTTGAGTAGCAATAGTAAAGATTTTTTTTCCTTATATAGAGCTATCAAACCCACCTTGCCTTTATCTCGACTTCTTCCCACAACCAGTGATTTCCACAGAGGCCCTATACAGAGCTACCCACTAAAGACATTTCTTTCTTTTATTGCACACTGCCTGTGAATACAAGAATAGGGATCCTACTGCTATAGTCACTAGGTGAAGAAGTGCCCCCAAATACCTGTGATGTAAGCCCATGTGAACCCTAAAGGTTTTCTAATAGCAAACTGAAGCTACTTACTACAGCTTAATTTTGCTTTGTTACTTTTTGCGAACTCCTGCGATCAGTCCGTGGGAACTAACCAGCGTCAAAAGTGCAACGCAAGAAACAGCGGACAGAGGGACAGAGAAGTACAAGGACCAGCAATAACCACTTTTCAGCCTTGGTGGTGATTTTAGTACCTTCCCAGTGAGGATCATGTGCACACAGGCAGCAGCCAAGAATAAATATCCCGAGGAGTGCCTACAAAAAGCAACCAGAAGGTCTAGGGCACCACTTCTGCTGGAGCTTCAGGACAGGGTAGTAGCTAGTATGGGGCTATGTTTGGTATTGGTGCTGAAAACAGCATGGCTACCACAGGGATGTTTTCGTTCCTGCTAAGCAGTGCTTACACAGAGCCAAGGCCTTTTCTGCTCCTCACCCCACCCGTGAGAAGGCTGGGGGTGCACGAGGAGTTGGGAGGGGACGCAGCCGGGACAGCTGACCCCAATGACCAAAGGGATATTCCGTACCGTATGACATCATGCTCAGCATATAAAGCTGAGGGAAGGAGGAGGAAGAGGGGGACCTTTGGAGTGATGCCATTTGTCTTCCCAAGTCACTGTGACACGTGATGGAGCCCTGCTTTCCTGGGGATGGCCAGACACCTGCCTGCCATGGGAAGTGGGGAATGAATTCCTTGGTTTGCTTTGCTCACGTGCACGGCTTTTGCTTTACCTATTAAACTGTCTTTATCTCAAGCCATGAGTTTTCTCACTGTTACCCTTCTGATTCTCTCCCCTGTACCGCCGTGGGAGGAGTGAGCGAGCGGCTGTGTGGGGCTGAGCTGCCGGCTGGGGGTAAAACACGACGACCAGCCTGGAGACTTGATGAATTCCCGACTGATAATTAGCATACAATTGCAAAGCTGTGCCCTGGGTTTTCAGCTTCCAGACTCATTGCTGCCTTCTTACTGAGCACTGAAAGACGAGACTTCTGAGATCAGCAGGTTGTGACTTGGAGCCTAAAGAAGAGTTACCACCTCTCCAGGTGGCTTGTGCGTGTCGCTACGAGCCCCAGTGAGGTCATGCTCTGGGTGGCAACCTCAAGTGCAGAAGTAAAGGAAAAATCCTGTTGAACATATTGGTTCTTACCTGACAACCACTGGAATACAGTGCTACACTGAACTAAAGACAATATAAGTCAACAACCTCTAGGGTAGACTTGGTCAGGAATTATCCTCAAAAAAGTGCAAGTTTGACAAAGCTGAAGCAATCTGTAAAGTAACTGTGATCAGCTAATTCTCCACTTCACAACTTCTGGAATTGGTTGGAACAGTTTCAGCTTTTTCAAATTAAAAGATTTGCCTCTGTCTTTAAAAAAAAAAAAGTCCAAATGATTTTGACATCTTGTTTGCTTAGATGATGGGTTGAAGCTGAAGAAAATGTTACAAGGGCCCAAAGCAGCATTTAATTTTTTATTTTGTTTTCTCCCTCATTTACAGTGGGGAAATGTCTTTGAAACCACAAACGTTCTTGCAGGGTGGAAAAACAATTCCCCCCCACTCTCCTCCATTCAGGTGTGGTTTTTTTCTGTCCAAAAGACCAGAAAGCCAGCTGGATGCTGAAAATTGCTTTTCAAGAAAGGCAAATCTACATTTCTAGCTGTAGATTAGACAACGTATCTTAAAAGGACAAAACGTCTGTGTTGCTTAAGATCCTTTGCACATAGGCGATATTTTAGAAGACTCCCAAGCAGTTCTGACAGCCAACGGGAAACAAAAATCACAACCTACATACTGAGGCTTTAAATTGCACCATGGCATTGACTCCACTCCCAGCTTTTCGGGGTAGAAATCTTATTTTGTACTAGTATCATCCTTTGCACAGCAGACTTCTGCCATCTTTTCAGGGCTTCTGGAAACTATGGTATTTGTCCTCTCACCCTTGGTTTCTGAAGAGAGCAATGGGAACATACAGTTATGTAGATGTCCCTGCACTGACCCTGACTAGTCCTTTGCTGGACCTTTTCTGCAGTAGGAACCAACTATCCATTCACATCTCCAGCCAAAGATTTTGTCTGGTGTGTGTAGGTGCTGTTGCAAAACCCAGCACGCTAAGGGGAGAATTTCTGAGCTGACTGAAGTGGTATTAATTTTTAAACACCCTTCAGCATCTACATTTTTAAGAAGGAGAAAGCAGACAAGCAGATATGGCCCAGATAGACACATTTCCATGGTCATTCAAGAATACT